TTCAAGGGGGACTGACTGCAGGGATCTGTGACTACATAAGTGGTTCTCAACCAGGGTGCCACAAGGTTCCCTAAGGGATTCCATGGTGCCAGTGATCAGGTAAAACTGCCCTGCGTGCTCCTCCTGTGTTAGGGCTTTTTAATCTAAAGCAGCCTAAAGCAGTAAAGCTACCTCCCTATGCTCCTCCCAGAAACAGGCTGACATAAAAAACTGTCCCATTCACTTCTGTTTTAAAGGAGGAGCTTGTTGGGGGTGCGGGGACTGACCAGGAAGGGTACAGTATGAGATAGCTTTGCTGCCTGCTTTAGGCTGATTAGAGAGCCCTGATGTGCAGGAGGAACGTGTGCATGTACCACAGCCCTTCCTGGGCTGGCTGTGCAGCAGGCATGGGGCAGTTGTATCTGAAGGCAGTAAAACCTGGTTGAGAAGCACTGAGGTAAACTGAGGAAGTACCAACAGTAGTCCTCATGCTGCCACATTCAAAAAACAGTAGTGGTACACTATCATCACTGCAGCTGGACTGGTAGGATTTTTCATTGAGCAAGACTCACAATTCTCTGTTGACTAACTGAAGTTGAATGGGGCTTCACATTACTTGTCCTTATATTCACATCTGCATGGTATATGGCCTAAATGAATGGTTCTTAACCCTTTTAAACTCAAGGTTCTTCTCAGAAAATGCCAGTTCTTAGCTTTCACTTGCATCTTGACTACATAAAAATAATATCATAATTTTTCTTCTTCAAAGATCTCAGAAAGCCCACAGCACGTCAGAATGTTTTTCACATCAGAGATTCCCATCTGAAATCTGTGGATGTATCCCCTTAATTATATACATATTTGCACACTTAACAGCACTAGCATTGTGTGGCACCCTGGTTAAGAATCACTGGGCTACATGCAAAAGTTGCCAGTGAGTCTTTGCTTCAGGCATGATTTTAAAGTAAGAGCCATTTTAAAATCTTGTCCAGAAAAATCAGGTTTGATTAGAAAATATGCAGCAGCATTCTGTGCTAATTATCTCCAACCAGAGATCTGAAAAGCAGAGAACACAAGTACTAAACATACAAGGAACAGAAGCTAGTAAGTGGCTATTAAGACAGGTCACAGATAAAAAGCAATCAGGAATGCCTAGTAAACTAACTGCAATAAAACAACATGCATTTTAAGTAGACCAATGCAAGGTCAGACATTTAAGAATGAAGACAACATGTAGCACAGGATGGAAACTGTACTCCAAAGAGCAACAGCTCTGGAAAGGAACATGGGATCATTGCAGAAATACGGTAGTAAAGAGCTAACATGACTCAGATATAAGGGATACAGAAGACCAGATTGGCGCTGTTACTTTTCCATAGGTTAGTTATGAACCAACCTTGGAACGCTGGGTTCAATTCTGGTGTCCTCACTTCAAAAAAAGAAGGAAAAAAAGAAAGGAGGAGGGGACGATGACAGGCTGCCAAGAAGAGCTACAAACACAGTTCAAGAGCTGGCAGGTAGAAGGTACGTCCACACAGTGCAAGACAGCCCTGTGCAAAGCTTCAAATAGTACAGCCATATATGAGCATAATACTTCACTTGGGCTAATTAACTGTTGAAAAGCCATAGCAACAAAAACACTTTTTGCACATGAGTTACATTTACACTGGTAGGGTTTGCCAGTAAATCTATACCTTATGTTATCTATCACAGAGATAAGGCCTGAATATGTTGGTGTTGATCAGTAGAGGGATGAAGGAAATGACTAAGCAAGGAGGTGTACTTAAGTGCTCCAAAGCACTTAAGTAGACAGGTGTGTAAATACTGATTGCAACAGGTAGAAAAGTCTCCACAATTGTCTCTGCAGGCACAGCCCAACTTCTGTCCCAGTTACATAAATGTACAGAGTGCAAAACAACCTCCATACCTAGGCATTGTAATACTGCTATAGATTTTGCAAGTCTAGCTTCCCATCCCATCCTGGCTGAGCAGTGCTGGGGACTCTTCTGCTAATTCTTTAAGGATTGATGATTTTTTTTCCCCCAATGGCTGACTGTGCACAGGTAACCTGTTAATTTATCAATAGGGACAAAAAAAATAATCAGTTACAGTGCACCAAGTCAAAGCTTAAATATTTACAAACAACCTTTATAACCAAATAGCATGACATTACTCATGCTTTTATATTAGCAGTAATGAAAACACACTTTAGTTGAAGCAAAGGCTAGAAGTTGCATCAGAATGGATGTTATAAGCAAGAAGCATGGTTAATAATAAGTAGTAGGGAGAGTCTAATAGACTATTGTGAAACCAGACAAGTAACTCAAATTCAACAGGACTTCAACTTTCATCTTGTTCTGACTTGCAGATAACATTCAGATCTCTTATCTTGCAGCATTTCAACTACTTTTGACCACAATTACACCAACTCCAAGCCATACCAGTATCCACTGAGAGAAAACTGGTTTTATTTTACCCAAGTTGCTCGCTTTCAGGGCTTACCTTGCACAAAGATGTTATTCTGGAATACAGAAGGGTATAAACTGAAAGAGCTGTAGTTATTCTGGAATGAGAGCTATAGCAGAACAGCAATTCTGGGATACCTGTGTTAGTTTTCCTGGGAATATAAGCCCTTAGACTCTTAGAGATTATTCAAGTTGGAACAACTTGAGCTCGAAGGACTAAAGAGGATGCAAGCAGTAATGCCTTCTGAAGCTCAAAGGTCTCTAAACAGCTCAATCAGCAACAAATATCAAGAATAAAGAAAAAAACCCTAGATTGTAATTCTAGTATAGATAACATTCTGAGGTAAAGCAGGAGCCTTGTTTCTGTATTTGGCAGAAAAGTGCCCAGTTCTGTGGTGGTGTTTTATAGACATAAATATGAAACAGTATTTAGCCCTTCTGGAGGGCAAGCCAGGAATGCTTCCATAGTAGTTTACAAATATTAGTAAACTCACCCTAAACACTTTGCTAGCTATGAACATCATCACTAAAACCCAAAGGGGTCACATGCATTACCATCTAAGCATCATAAAGCCCTGTTGGACTCTTCAGCTTTAAAACATCCTCTAGCTTCCAAAATACCTACAGCGCCTCAGTTACACTGACATGCATGGCCCCTGGTTCAGACAGAAAGGAATATGATACATGGCTATAACATTTTTTTACCTATTAGTAATAATACATGATATATTTTGGATTGAGGGGATCCCAAAGAGCAGCAGACTCTGGAGGCAGCTGACAAGGCTGTAAGGCAAAGGGTGTGGAGAACAAGTGAACTTGTGAAATCACATGAGCTGAGAGAGAGAGTGGAAAGCTGATCACCTGAAAAGGAAATTCAGACTGTTCAAAAGTCACTGGTTTGTTTGTTTTTGATAACCCGAATGACTAACATTGTGAATCAAGGCTGTCACATCGCTGCCAGCTTTGCCCCTTCAGTTAAAGTATCAGAGGTCATAATCATGGCCTTGAGGCCAAGCAAACCATGGAGGAAAAAATCAAATCAGACTAGATATTTTTGATACTGCCGTGGAAGAAAAAAAAAGAATCTTACAGGCCTTTTTATGCACCGTATACTTTCTGTCCCCACCCCTCCCAAACAACCTGTTTTTCAGGTGGCCTTTTCAGATCACTTTTTAGGTCAAGCTCCTGAGGTATGCACTTTTGCTTCTCATTCAGCTCTAACCTACATTGAAGAGGACACTCCTAGAAGGGAAAAGGGAATGCTAGATACAGGCTGAAAGAAATACCACCCCAGCTAAGAAGCCTGAGAAGTCAACTTTATTTCACAATTCAGGACAGATTTTTAAATATATATTTCAACATGCCAATGGCTTCAGGGAAAGCAAGGCCAACATAAACCAATCCAGCTCCCAGAGGTTTCCTGCCAACAGTTCACCAAGCAGAGGCAGGGACTGCATGCATCCATGGGCAGATCTAGACTTTTGGAAAGTGGGGTGCAGATGGGGAGAGGTGCCTCATCACATGTAACACAACATGCATTTTTCTCCAGTTCAAAAGAAACTTGAAGTGTTACTCAAAGGCTAGGAGCCCAGAGCTGGGTTGTTCTGCTTAAGCACAAGCAAATATAACTTAACTGGGATGAGTTGCAGTCCGCAGGGCTGTGAAACCAGCTTCATGGGATCACAGAAATTGAGGGTCAGAAGAGCCCTCAGGAGGTCATGTCTAGTCCAACCCCCTGCTCAAAGCAGGACCAGCCCCAACTAGATCATCCCAGCCAAAGCTTTGTCTACCTGGTCTTAAAAGCCTCCAAGGGTGGAGGCTGCACCACCTCTCTGGGTAACCTGTTCAGCGCTTTACTACCCTCCTAGCCAGCAAGTCTTTTCCTAATATCAAACCTAAGCCTCCCTTGCTGCAATTTGGGCCCGTTGCTCCTTGTTCCGTCATCTGCCCGCGCTGAGAAAAGGCCGGCTCCATCCTCCTTGCAACCCCCTGGACGGAGTTGAAGGCTGCTGTTAAACCCCGCTCGGTCTCCTCGTCCGCAGGCTGAACAAGCCCAGTCCCCTCAGCCTGTCCTCACAAGCCACGTGCCCCAGCCCTGCCCTCCACACGGCTCCGCACGTTGTCCGCCGCGCAGCCTGTTTGCG